ATAAACCCACGAGCAGGGTTGCGGTGCTGACAAACTCTGGAAACCCTGAAGGCCTTGTTGAAAGCTTATTTCCGGGGTCTACCATCGTAACATTGCTTTTACTAAAACCGAAGTAACACTCAATCCAAGGACATAGACCCACGAGCATGGCTGTGATGCTGACAAACCCCGGAAACATAATCAGGGGGTTCTAAGCAGCGGTCATAGGTTTTGAGGCACGGCTACTACCAGGTTGGCCAGATGCCCTCCAGTTTGGGGTTCAGATAATAATATCTAAAACATCCAGTTTGTCTAAGTTTAAAAGTGACAAATGTTTGGACTTACTAATGTTACTTTCTTCCGACACATCCAGTCTTCATCACTCTCTGACGTCTTTGGTTTACCAGCTGGCACATTACTTGATGCCATGCAGATCCTGCAAACCAGCGTCTTGGAATTGAATCCTACATGACTACAACTAGCAAGCTGCAAACATTTAGCGAAGCACAGTGAACTACCGTATGGCGCCAGTTCAGCAAGGGGGGCGTCACATAGCTCTTCCTGTGCACATTTCCTGAATACAGTCATATCCTTGAGCGCATCTGCCCTGTACATGACGACCCACGGCAAGGTAAGACAAGTACAAAACACGTGCCATATCATTCTTAACAGCTTGGATTTTTTTATACCAACACTGCTACTAGTACAATGTAAAATGTTTTGCTTCCTTAACCTTCTCGAAAATACACGTCTGTGTATTGGATGTACAATTCAGGAATGTTATTACGGGCTTTTACGAACCATACTGCTAAACAACGTTAAGAAAAAACACTCTTCTCGACTGTCCCCGATCAATGGAAAGGGGTTTTGCCTTTGCCAAAGGAACGCAGACAGTCAGTATTCAAGTTTTTTGAGCAGCCAAGCATCTTTATTGCATGAGATAGATTTTCTTATATTGAAGTGAAGCTCACATTTAATTCATATAAAAACACATCAATGTGCATATTAACTATATTATGGTGTTATCTTCTGACAATGAAAGTAGTCGTCGTGAGTATTATCAGTTCTGTTCCAGACTCTATCACATCACTGAAAGAGCAAGTAGATCATTAGTGTTCAGTCAATACAACGATAAAGCAAAAACATCGCTAAAATAGAGCATTAAAGTAAAGTACTTGAAATTGTATATTCCTTAAATGAATTAACAGTAGTTTTGAGCAGAAAGATCTCATTTTTGTAAATATAATCGCTGTGAAATATCAATTCTATTTGTGTGTCCTGCGTCATTAAATATGTTTAATCACAATTATAATGGATAAATCATGAGGTAAAATCATGCAAAAAATGTATCTCCTTTGAAAAAAGTAATGTATACAAGTAAGCTGGAAAGAGTGAGTGAGTGAGTGAGTTGGGTTTAACGCCACTTTTAACAGTATTCCAGTTATATAGCGGCGTGTCAGCTTAATGTGGGAGGAAAGCCCGAAGTGATGCAGGTCTCAGACGTTTACCACTTCGGTGAAACCCACGAACACAGGTATGGTGCTGACAAACCTAGAAACATAATCGGGGCGAAAAGCTGGAAAGAAACTTCAAAACCATATGCACAACAAACTTCCGCGTCAGTATTTCATGTTGCGTTGGTTGGTTGGTTGGTTGGTTTGTTGTTTAACGCCGCACTCAGCAATATTACAGCTATATGACGGCGGTCTGTATATAATCAAGTCTGGACCAGACAGTCCAGTGATTGACATTATGAGCATCGAATAACGCAATTGGGATCGATGACATGCTTCAGCCCAGTCAGCAGGCATGACCACCCGATCCCGTTAGTCGCCTTTTACGACAAGCATAGGTCATTTTGCGGAAAGTACAACATAAATAAATTTCGGAATTGACTTCTCCGACTCCATAATGGACACGCTAAGGGTTTTCTGATTGGACGGCTGTTTTTAGGGTCGTTCATGAGGGATCCTGAATATCCTAACCTATCATATACAACATAATGCTGTACCTAAAAGCCCTGAACTCCGCAAGAAAACAAGTCTGACTGTGCTGGTCCAAACCAAACCCACATTGAAAGAAACTACGTCTGTAAAAATGACCCAAAGATAGTCTGCAAGTTATGTATTTACCGTATTCGCTGTAATTAGCGCCCCGCTCTAATAAGCGCCCACAGCGATATTTGCTAATATATTGGCCAGTAAACAATCCTTATAGGCAGCCCTTCCGATTGATAAATGCACACAAGATTTATTCATGCGCGTATAATACGCACTCGTGTGTTATATGCACCCTTTATTATGGGCATTTAAATTCTGGCAAAAGGTGTATCTGTCGTATATAAACATTTCAAGCTGTCAGCGTAAACCACGAAATTTACAATCTTTCAACCGTTTTTTTTCACCAAACTAATGTTTTATATATCTGATTTTGAGAGCGCCAAAGGGCGCTTATTAGGTCAAAAACGGTAATAATAAATTATGTGATACATTGAAGGATTTAGCTTTCATAGGCCATATCACCGAATTCCGGAGTAATGTTATGCTTGTCGTAAGAGGCGTCTAACGGGATCGGGTGGTCAGGCTCGCTGACTTGGTTGATGCATGTCATCGATCCTAATTGCGCGGATCGATGCTCATGATATTAATCGCTGGATTGTCTTGTCCAGACTCGATTATTTACAAACCGCCGTCATATAGTTTGAATATTGCTGAGTGCGGCGTAAAACAACAAACCAACAAACCGGAGTGATGTACATGGTACGTCTATCTTCGCTTCTTTTCAAGCTTTTGTCAAAGGGTTTCGCACTGAAGGCTGCTCTCCTGAAGTGAGACATCTCTCACATATCGGCCTTACAATAGCAGACATTGTTACACATCAAATGTCAACAGAAGCCAAAGGGGGCTTTTAAAGATTTATAGACATAACAATAAAATAAATTTCAAACAATTTCCTGAATATTCCACTCTCATGTTTTCGCAACTCCTACTCTGCCCACACAACTCGCTCAAACACTCGTCATATATCTCACACTGCTTCAAACCTACTCCCACTTCCAACTGATAATCTATTAACTATTTGATCATAAGCATACACATAGTTTGGCTATATTCAAGCACAATGCAGACATGTTAAGGCACTAAGGAACTGAACAAGCTCCCTTGTGGCGAATACCTTAACACATGTACAGTTCAGGTATGTATACACAGGTTCACTTCTATTCAAAACCAAGTGTCACTTGTCTCGAACCAAAGTTCACCTCCAGATATAGGTCCCGTCAATCTCGCGAAGCGCTACATCCGTTACCAGCATTTCAGGTGACGTGCCTGTACTCTTGAACTAGTTCTGCTTTTCGAAATGCGCGACTGCCAAAGCTAACTTTGCTAGACAGGACCAAGTATTCTACCATGCTTGATTGTCTCCTCTATTGACAGTCGTGAAAGATGGCTTAATCCTGAATAATAATGATCGGTTATTTGTCATTCCTGCAAAGTTCCTGACTGACAAATGACAATCATGGAACCGTTCGTAAAGGAATGTGTTCTTTTCTTCACCGTTAAAATAACTTTGATTAGCAGTTGGGTAACTATCGTTCAGAAGTGTACTTATGTTCGCAGTGGACAGTTATTTTATCATAACGTAGGATGTGCTACTTGTTTCTGAGATATAGGACTATTCATGAAGATGCAACAACCAATAGTGAGTGAGTGAGTTGGGTTTAACGCCGCTTTTAACAGTATTCCATTTATATCAGCCAGCTTAATGTGGTAGGAAAGCCCGAAATGATGCAGGTCTCAGACGTTTACAACTTCGGTGAAACCCACGAGCACGGGTATGGTGCTGACAAACCTGGAAACAAAATCGGGGCGAACCGGGATTCGAACCCACAATCATAGGTTTCTGGCGTGCCCAAGGGACGCAACTCTGCACAGCGAATCGCGACGCCTGAGACGACTTGGCCACCCGTGCCCCCTCAACAACTAACAGGTAGGCCAAACGACCATAGTGTTCTGGTATCTGACAGCATGAACATGAGCTTGCCTTTTGACAGTTTGACTAGGCATTGGTTGGTTGGTTGGTTTGTTGTTTTACACCGCACTCAGCAATATTACAGCTATGTGACGGCGGCCTGTAAATAATCAAGTCCGGACCAGACAAGCCAGTGAGTGATATCATGAGCATCGATCCACTTCTTACGACAAGCATAGTCGCCTTTTACTGCAAGTCTGGGTTGCTGAAGACCTATTCAACCCCGGCATCTTCAGGATCGACTTTGAATTAGGGAAGATTTGGAGGATGAAATTAAGAAAATCCATGCTATGAATTTGTAAACGAGAAATGTGTTTAAGTCAATTGTATATATACATTTTTTAGTAATTATACTGCATAATAAGCAAGTCATGTGTTTGGAACTTAAAAATAAATATGCATTATATATAGTTAAGTAAGTAGTTTTAAAAAAACTTAAAAAAATAGTTACAATGAGTAAGTTATTTCTTTAAGATCTTTTTTATGACGGAAACAATAGTTTTATGCAATGTAGAAAGCATGTGCATAAATTGTATAATTTGAGAAGTTAGTTTGAATATTGGTGAGTGAGTGTGGTTTTACGCAGCCTTAAGCAATACTCGAGTAATATCACGGTGAGGGAGACCAATAATGGACTTCACACATTGTACCCACATAGGGAATCGAACCCTGGCCTTCGGCTTGACGAGCTAACGCATAAACCAGTAGGCTACCCGACCGCCCCAGTTTGAATATTAAATGAGAATAGACATAATAATGCAAATGTATTATTATTGTGCATTTTGGTAGGCTTTCACTGAGATTGTTTACAGACCGCCAAAATATAGTTTGAATATTGATGAGTGCGGCGTAAAACAACAAACCAACCAACCGGAGTGATGCAACTCCTACTCTGCCCACACAACTCGCTCAAACACTCGTCATATCTCTCACACTGCTTCAAACCTACTCCCACTTCCAACTGATAATCTATTAACTATTTGATCATAAGCATACACATAGTTTGGCTATATTCAAGCGCAATGCAGACATGTTAATGCACTAAGGAACTGAACAAGCTCCCTTCTGGCGAATACCTTAACACATGTACAGTTCAGGTATGTATACACAGGTTCACTTCTATTCAAAACCAAGTGTCACTTGTCTTGAACATGGTCCTAAGAGGCGACTGACGGGATCGGGTGGTCAGACTCGCTGACTTGGTTGATGCATGTCATCGTTTTCCATTTGCGTCGATCGATGTTCATGATGTCAGTCACTGGATTGTCTGGATTCAGCAATATTCCAGCTGCATGATAGAACGATGTCGTCCAATGTTAACCATTATTTCAGACAATCCGAGACGAAATCTTGAATATGTTATGCGCAGAGATTTGCATGTAATAACATTTAAATACAATTCAAGTTCAATCAACGATTCAAAAGATCTATATATGACATATCTTGAAGTGTTTTCACGTGTCGATCTCCAATCATGCTGAAACATATCTAGTCACTTTCTATGAAATAATCTTGATACAACCTTGATACAACCACACATAACCGAAACCGTGATAAAATAGCATATAATGAATATTTGATGCCCATGTTGTGTACCCATGATTGTCCAGATTAAGTAGCATTTTGTATGCTTTTCTAGGCAGGCGGTCTTCGTGCATTCTAAAATTTTAAACCAGTATTTTAAACAACGAATATATGCATTAATGTACATCGGATATCTTCCACATTCGCCATAAACCATACAGTTTGGAGTGTTTATTCCTGTCTTTAAAAACTTTTTACATGCATATAAATGTATTTTCGCTATGGTCCATAATTTTTAAAACCCTGAGTTCTGAGCCGTATAAAAGGATAGACTGTATTTGGCCATCAAATAGCTTAAAATAAAGTCTAAGTGGAACAGGTTCTAATTTAGATACAGTGGTAACCATGACCATTGCTTTCTTGGCCCTTACAGCTGAATTGTGGACATTTTTTTCTAAATTCAAAGTCTTAATAATAATAATAAAGTCCATTTCTTCAGCGCCATGTCCGTCTACGTAGTCGCTCATAGCGCCTCACACAGGGTCATAGACACATAGTCTTTAGTTTTGTCTTGAAAGTGTCCAGAGTTGGAGATTGCCTAATTTCCACTGGAAGGGAATTCCAGAGCACAAATGCAGTGTGAGCAAAAGTTCTGTTGCCGAATGCTTTGAGTGAGACCATAGGGACACTAAACTGGAGTTTATGTGCTGATCTGAGATCTCGTGCTGGCTGGTGTAGGGTAAGACGTTCACTCAGATAGGAAGGAGCTGTACTATAGTAGCACTGGTATGCAATGCACACGACTATGTGTTCAATCCTAGATCTTATTGGAAGCCAGTGTAATGATTTTAATAAAGGAGTGACATGTGCACGCTTATTTCGTCTACATATCAATCTGGCAGCAGCATTCTGCACACGTTGCAATTTGCTACACAGATCCTGTTTGATATTAATAAGCAGACTGTTAGCATAGTCCAACCTGGATAGGATAAGTGATCTCACGAGCTGATGTGCCGCATCGTATGTCAACATGGGTCTTATCTGACTGATATTTCGAATGTGGAAGTAGCAACTTTTGCAGATATTGTTTACTTGATGGTATTGGTCAGTGATGACTCCGAGGTCTTTAACAGTCAAAGAAAAGGGGATATCAACTCCATTAACAGTCAAGAATGATTCGGATATTGATGCAACAGATCGGCTACTCCCAGTGAGTATGACCTCGGTCTTATCAGGGTTGAGCTTCAGACGATTCTGTGTCATCCATGTCTGGATCGCAGATGTGCACATTCGCAATTCTGCTATCACCTGTGCTGAGTCACCATGTGTAAAGACTTTCATGAGCTGATTATCATCAGCATAACCATGACGACTAGTGTCAAAAGTGTCTGTAACTTTGCCTAACTGAGAAATATAAATCACAAACAACAGAGGTCCCAATACAGAACCCTGCATTGAATCTTCAGATGACAAGCCATCAATCGAAACAGCCTGCTTTCTTTTACACAAGTATGATGTAAACCAAGCAAGTGCAACATCTGTTATACCAAGATTAGACTCAAGACGACGTAGTAGCCTGCTATGGTCTATGGTGTCAAATGCCGCTGATAAGTCAAGGACAAGAAGTCCTACCTTGCCCTTATCAGCAGCTGCCATGACTCTCAGAAGACAAGTTTCTGTTGAGTGTGCTGGCCTGTAAGCCGATTGGAACTTATCATATAAGCCATACAGTTCCATATAATCTGTAAGCCTGACTTTCACAGCTTTTTCCAGGATTTTGGACATGAACGATAAATTACTCACAGGTCTATAGTTCAAGAGAAGGTTAGGGTCCAAAGTCTTCTTCTTCAAGAGTGGGCGAACTAGGGCCCTTCTATGTCGTTCGGGTACCTCTCCAGACTCCAGACTCCAGACTGAGGTTCACAATCCTAGTTATTATGGGAAGCAAGATATGCATGTAATCCAAAACGAATTTGGTAGGGACAGGATCAACTCCTCGACAGTATATTGGCTTTGAAGATTGGTTGATCTTTAATACCTCAGCTTCACAGTATCCTTCCTTAGTAAATAAAATACCCAGGTATTTATATTCATCTATATTATATATCATTATATTCAAGACTAACTGGGGTGTTTTTGTAAAACAAGTTTTCGGACTTGACCATCTCTCCAAAACACAAGTACATTTGTTTTATCTAGGTTTACTGTAAGTTTCCATTCGTCTGTTAACGTTTCTAAGATATTCAGCTGGTTTTCAAGCCCTACCACAGTATCTGATACAATTATAACATTATCAGCAAACAATAGCATGAATAACTCTCAAATATCTGGGTACAGCTGAACACCGTGTTTGACAATATCGTATGTCTGAAAATATGGTATGTTCACTTGTTAATGAAAAATGAGAACAGCATAGGACTTCATAAGCAACCTTGTTTCAAACCAAGAGGACAATCGAAAAAGACCCTTAACTGACCATCAAACCGTACACATGCTCTCACATTTGTGTACATACTTTTTAACATATGTAGCATTTTACCATTCATGCCTGTATTTTTCAAACAAAGCCATAATTTATGTCGATTAACAGGAGGATTGGAAATGAACGTAGACTGCCATGTTGTCTGACTGCAGATAGTGTTTGCTATGTAAACAATCACTGGGTGTGACCCTGTGGAGAGGTTCTCATTAGGGGGTTGTGATTTTCACAATTGCCCAAATTATCCTGCTGAGTATTGGTGCTAGGTGATCCCAAAGGTAATATTATATTATTGGAGGAAATTAGTTGTGAATTATTAATACCATGTATATAGGACCTCCTGGCTTATTAGCTCTTTCCATCTCTGTGGGTAATTCTGAATAATACAAGTCACTCAACCAGTTCATGTATTCTATGTAAACGAAGATAAGACTTGGTTAGAATCCGTATTTATCTGTGACAACTTCCAACTCGTGACATTTTAGTGAATTTGGCAAGTGGCCATGAATTTTAATATTCATATTATTCTAATCTCTGTCAAATTGTACATAAAATTGGGTTTTAAATCATAAATATTCAAAGGGACTACTCCCTACACCAATCAATATCTTAATGAATGGAGATCAATCTATTGTATGAATTACATATAAATCTCACTAAGTATATGTGTTACATTTCGCGTGCGTGAAAGATGGGATTAAGGGAAATATTTTCATAACAGTTTCTCATAACTGGTTAAGGAAATCGGAAATAGCTGAACCTGTAAAAAGAATCAAATCCGTAACGGATGTGACAGATCTCACAGGGTAACATTCAACAGGCTCATTACTTCATTAACGTCTTTCTTAACAGTCCCGAAGAACAGCCGAAATTTGAAGTGAACTACATTGGAAAATGAGAGAAGAAATTAATAGTCAATGTATTTTATTATAAAAATTTGTGTTCAGTACAACAGTTTATTTTAGTACTTGTCAAGATGAATCAATCCCTAACCTTTCCGTACTCTGTTATGACATATCTTATGTCAAAGTGGAAAAAAAACCGTAAACCAAAGATTTCCCACGGACTTGTTACATTTACTTATTGTTGATATACATGTGTTCAGATTATTTAGAATCTAATTTATCTAATTTTACCCCGCATGTCTTGGTGTTACACAGCCAGTGTCCCAACTCTCGTGTATCTACTTGAATGTTTCGCCCTCTCGATCTAACGTTCTAACATTTCAGGGCATAGCCATCCTCTTACATACAACAGATTCGCTCTTAACATATTGTCTTTCAGTTCCATAGCCTGTGCTGGCTTAACCTTGACTGTATTAGTCTTCGAATGTTACGTCTTGTACACACAAACAGGACCGTTTAGCCTATATAAGGAATGTAGCAGTCAGTGGATCTTCCAGTCAGCTGACCTATTGGTGGTAAAATCCGTTTTCCTTTAGCAAATAGGAGGATAGTTAGTAACAAAAGATATACGATATATAACGAATGTCTTTTCATAACTATCACAGTGGACTTGACACAGTTATTTGCGCACCGATTATATAACTCCTACCGACAAGGTGGGGTGGTTGTTCCAAGCGAAACTGACGACCCCGTCTGTTGTCTAATAAATGCTGTGCGGCGCCTTTGATCTTGCCTCCAACCATACACCTAATAGTAGTAAACGACGATCAGGATGACCTTGAAATAAACTCAATTCGGTCTTGTTGACAAGGAACCAAATCACCGGTCAAGCATCAGCCCTAAACATACAGAATCGACTTTCGTCAGTGAAGACAACCCTCTGCCAGTCACGTCGTTGCCAACGTGTATATCTTGTTAAAATATTTCGGCAGTATTATTTCCTTAGAACATTTAAGCATTTCAACAAGAAGATTATCTAGTCCAGGGGACTTTCCATTCTTCAGAGAATACATTGCAATATCAGTATAATGCTCATAATAACATTTATCTGTGTCTGTATCAGAACTGGTTAAGTTCTTCAACACATCAGCAGTTTGGAAGACATCTTTGAAATGAGTTAACCATTCGGTGGGATTAATTCTGCAAATGGTATATGTCTTTGAGTTAATATTTCGAATCTCTTTCTAAA